AAGTCACCCAGTAAGACACAGTCAAGTTTTGCAAGTCACAGTAAAGAAACATCAGCTTGTTCTGGAACCCTTGATTGCTAAAAAATTAAAAAGAAAAACATAAAAAAGGTAAAAGGAATAGGGTGAGCAAACATCCTTTATTGTGATCACTGGGGAGTCAGAGGATGAGCTTCCTTGGCAGGGGGTAGAAGGAAGAGACCATCTAAACTTCAGAATCAAGACAATTTGCATGCCCCTTGACCTCACAGTTCAACTTGTACAATACATTAAAGCATGAGTGTTAAATAATTTATGCAAAATACCTTGAAAATAATAGATACGAAGTGGTTCCCCACCCACCCTGATATATGTAGTTTTGTAGCCAGAAATCCCAGTGTTAACTTCCAATAAGAGAAACTATTATGGTTTTTAAAAGTCAGAAGAAATTCACTTTAATTTGAATATTACATTAGTGACATCTGGTGGAGAATATAAGAGTTACGATGCAGTATAGCTATATCTGCTCTTTCATGTACAATTAATCTTGAAAATAACTTGCATATGCTAAACAACTAAATAAAACAAATGGAAAAACAGGTGACAATACCTACCTTACTTTGCTAATTTTTGATTCTGTATTTTAAAACATTGGGTCCTTGGAAAATTCATGATGCACTTTGGCATAGAAAAACCTAGAACAATATGTCGTGACTTTTCCAATGACCCAGTACATAGGTTAATGAATACAAGAGACATTAATGCATTCTGATAATATCGTATAAATAAAAATAATAAAACTTAAAACATTTATTCAGCATGAATGTTTATATAATAAAAAATGATTGAAAGTAGTGCTATGGATCCCTTATGCTATTGTGAACCTCTTTTTATGTATCCTATGACAAAAATCCTCCTTTCCCAAGCTGTCAGCATAGGGTATCCTAAGGAGTGCCCCAAAGAGCAAGCCAGTAGTGCTTCAGAGAATATGACAGTGAGATAAAATCCCGAGAGATACCTAATTTGAAATACTACGGCTGGAGATAACAAATGTTTTACAAGTGAGCCTTATTTTTCACAAAACCAAGTGCTCTAAGCTAGAGAAGGATTTGAATATTCGTGACCAAAGTGCACACTAATAATCGATTTATAGGGTTGGCAAAGTACAATCCTCAGGCCAAATCCTCCAGCCATCCGAGTTTATTGGAACACAGTCATGCTCATTCATTAACACACTAAGTGCTTATGAGATACAATGAGCGACTTAATTAGGTGCAAGAGACCATATGCCTGCAAAGCCTGAGCTGGCATTTGCAGAAAGCTAGCTGACCCTTGGAGCAGCAGATCACTTTCATCAAACATCTATGGCCTTCCCCCAATCTCCATGGGAGTATACTTCCCAGTCTCACCAGAATTTGGTTTACTCATAACACTTTCTTTGGTCACTGGAATGCTGAAAAACATCAGTGTGAATGTATTGAAGCTAAGCCTTAAGAGTCCTCCCTACAATGCTTCCACAATGATAGGATGACATGCGTGGCACAGAGCCACCCCTGAGGACCTTCAGACTTGGATGAGAAAACAAAACAAAACAAAACAAAAAACACTGCTGATGTCCTGTGGTTGTCTGCTATGCAGCCAAAGCAGATTCATACAGGAGATTGTTACACTCTGCTGACGCGTCCTCATGGAGGCTCCAATTCTCCTATTGATGACACTGGGAGAATTATGAAAACAAGGCATAGTTCAGTCCTTTCTGGGCTTTATTTCGGAGCTTGACAGGCTCACTGGAATTGTGGCTTCTCTGTTTAACATGCTGTAGAGGCCAGTCACAATTCTTTCAGTGACTGGTTTAAATGTCTTCCTTTTTAGGTGAGCCTCAGGTAGAGAAAGAGGGTGGGGCAAGTCCACTTGGGGTTATTGGCCATGGCTGTTCCAATCTCGCTTTACCAGTAAAGCTCATAACCTGGTTCCTACTGAAGATTTTCTCAAATCTAAAATGAAGATTTCTTAATTTATACGTAATCTCTAAGGAGAAAAAAAAAAAATCCTGTCTGGTTCCTCGGAAATCTCACAAGAGTAAATAGTAACACGCAAATGATTTAAAAATCTAAGAATTTAATGTTAACAGTATTAGCTGAGTTGAAAGGACCGAAGTATACACCAGTTTTTTAAACTGTGACTTCAAAACAGCCTTACATCTTAAACTGTCAAAATGCAAGGCTTTTTATTGCCACTTTTCTCAAACCCTCAAGCTAATATTGGAGATAAACAGTCCACAAATTTGTCACTGAGGACCCAGAAACTGCCCTTGCTTTCAGATTTTCCTCCCATTCCCTGTGCGGCTAATGTTTTCTGATAGTATCTTTCCATATTTTGAAGCAGTCCCTCGTTTTTCCTTTTTCTATAATTGCCAGAGGGTGCATGTGTTTGCTGGAGAGAGAAGGAAAGCACCCTCTCCCAGTGGGGCATGGCCACTCTGCAATTCCTTACCCTGTTTTTCTATTCTATGGGGATTTGGGGCATGCACACACATGTACCTGTTTCCAGAATGTTTTTCAAAAGGCTGGAACAGAGATTTGTATCAGGGTTGGCCAGGTGGGATCTGGTTCCCTTAACTACTGGCTACCAGGTGGCCAGAGCAGTCACTGATTTGTATAAAGATGTTCAAACTTGATTTCCTATAGAGGATGAGAATGTTCATGTTTTCACTGAAGCTGTGGATATGCTTTCCTTCTCAATACACATTTCAAATGTCAGAGCTTAGAAATAGTCCACTAAGAATTCAAGTGTATGTTTTGTCAGCTTTATACTTTACCTTCTACAGAAACCTAGACTTTTGATCACTCCAATTCAGGATCATTTCCATTTGTGTATAACTGCTTTTCTTATTTGAGAAAAAAACAGAGATGGTGTTCCTTTCAAACCACCTGGACCTCAAGAGTTGGGTATCTTCAACAACTCTTTAGGGAAGGGACTTTCCTAACAACATTCATTATATTTGTCATTAAATACAGGCATCATCAGTCCTGTTGTCTAGAGGTTAGGGGAGCTAGATCCCACATGGCCCACTGGTTTGTCTGGCCTAGAGGCTTCAAAAATATGCCAGGCATGTTTTAAGTATGCCCCGAGTCCTGACATGATGGAGAAATGGAAGGTTGTGACATGGCTATGCCACATTATAGTGCTTTTTCCCTCCCTGTCTTTCTCTAGCAAGTATACAGGCCCTCCCGTAATCAATTAATGAACAGAAAATACTGACACCACTGAGATGAATATATGCTGCTCTTTATGCGCATATGTGGACCAGAGACATGATTGATTCAGGTAAGATAACAAAGAAAAAAAAACGTTGTTTCACTCATCCTGGCACTTGGCATACAGTATTTTGCAGGTTAATAGACGTTCCACATGTAATTTTAAATGAATGGATTATGTGCATTTACTAAATAAACAGTGAAGGTTAAATCAGTCAACACATTAAGAGTTCAGAATAGTGTTTAATACTTAACATTTAATAAACTAAATTTTAGAAATAAGATTTAGAATACACTTAAGAAAGAAGTTTGCCAGGGCCAGCAAGTGGCGTGGGTGGTTAAGGGCACTGGACTCCCACATGGCTGACCACCGTTCAAGTCCTGGACCTGGAGGCTTGCTTTCTCCCTTTCCCTCTCTGATCAAATGAAAATAAATAAATAAAGTTAAATAATTCTTTTTTTTTTTTTTAAAAAAAGGTTTGCCAACAACTGAGCTTTAAAAAATGGGCTGAGAACTGGGTGGAAAGAATGAGATGATGAGATCAGGTGATGAGAGTCTTAATGAAGGCACAGAAATAAACATGGTGTTTAAGTATATGAGGAAAAGTAGGCTGACAGTAAAGTGAGTAAAGAAAGGTCCTGCATCCCAACATTTGCTCAACTAAACTAATTCCAATGACGCTTATTCTAAGTCTGCTGTTGTGAGATGAAGTGGGTATAACCAAAGTTTAATCTACTAGGTTCAAACTACCTCAAGATCCATTCAACTCTACCCTTAGGCCCTACAACCTAGATAGCATGAGAAATTACTTGCCAGGGACCAGCAGTTAGTGTAATGGCTATGTCGCTGGACTCCCATGTAGTCGACCGCGGTTCGCATCCTGGACCCGGTGGCTTAAAACTCACACCGGGTGCATGTGCGGGCATGCCCAAGATCCCAAGAGGAGAATGGAGAAGGCATTGTGGTGTGACCATTCCCCCTGGGGGGTGATTTCTCGCTTTCTGTCTCTCTGTCTCTCTCTGTCTGGCAAGGCGAGCGCACACATCCTATAGCAAAAACCTCTCCAAAAAAAAAAAAAAAGAGAGAGAAATTACTCGCCTGAATCCATTCTAACTACTACTTAACCGTAAAACACCACACCAATATCAAATACTTAAAGACAAATTTAAAACATAAAATTTTATTTTTTCATTGTCATTTAAAGTGATTTTATAAAACATAAAAAAAAACATTTAGGAGTTCTATATCATAGAAAATGAAACAGCAGAAATCCATGGCTTCACAGGCTTATTATATAAATTAAAATCTAGTCATTGTAATTTTTTCAATAGGGAACTATAGATACAATGAGATGACAGTAACACCTAATAAAGCAATTATTTATGGATTATTAGTTACTTGGAGGATCTATACATAGATTTTGAATATTCCAAAGTTTTTGCTAGTTTTTTCTTTTTTATTGATATTTAAATATTTCCCTACCAATACTGAGTCAAGCTACTTGACCAAAATGTCTGATTTGGTAAAGCATTTATCTTTTAAGTTTTTCCATCTACAGTTACCACCTTCAAAAGAACTGACATCACGATACTGATGAAATCTGCTGGTTCCTTTTGAACAGTGTGCAAGAATTCCACTGTGTCGAAAAAAAAAAAAAAAAGAGAGAGAAATTACTCGCCTGAATCCATTCTAACTACTACTTAACCGTAAAACACCACACCAATATCAAATACTTAAAGACAAATTTAAAACATAAAATTTTATTTTTTCATTGTCATTTAAAGTGATTTTATAAAACATAAAAAAAAACATTTAGGAGTTCTATATCATAGAAAATGAAACAGCAGAAATCCATGGCTTCACAGGCTTATTATATAAATTAAAATCTAGTCATTGTAATTTTTTCAATAGGGAACTATAGATACAATGAGATGACAGTAACACCTAATAAAGCAATTATTTATGGATTATTAGTTACTTGGAGGATCTATACATAGATTTTGAATATTCCAAAGTTTTTGCTAGTTTTTTCTTTTTTATTGATATTTAAATATTTCCCTACCAATACTGAGTCAAGCTACTTGACCAAAATGTCTGATTTGGTAAAGCATTTATCTTTTAAGTTTTTCCATCTACAGTTACCACCTTCAAAAGAACTGACATCACGATACTGATGAAATCTGCTGGTTCCTTTTGAACAGTGTGCAAGAATTCCACTGTGTCGACATTATGGTAAGTCAAACAGGTACCAAAGAATGGAACAATTATGCACAGTTCAGTAAAGTCTAACACTGATTTTCCCCAATTAAAAATTAACCACTGAAATAAAACATCAACTACAGTTGACCTGGTTTCAGGAAAAATCACACTTGAATGTTGTAATTAGACTATTTTCCTCATCTTATCCTCAGTCATTGACAGGGATTTTGTAGGCCACCATGCTATTGACTTTGTGGATTGTAGTCGTAAATGAACGAAGACGGACTTCCTCGGAATTGGTAATGAACTGTGGGCCCGACTCTTCCCATTTTTCAGGTACAACCAAATCTTTGTCTGTATAAATCAGTAGATCGAATGAACCTAAATTGGGGATAAGATCAATGAAGTACATTATTTTTCAAAAGGAAAACTACTTTCCCTAACTCTCATACTTTGAACCAGCCATTGCTAGTTTAGTCTGGTCTCTAGTCAGTAATTTATTTTGCTCAATGGAAATCTACTTTAGTACAGAAAATACAGTGCTCTGCTACCTATCTTATAAAAAATTCAAACAAAGAGAAAAATCACTGGGCTGATTCTGTGGCCTAGTGGTTAAGGGAGCCAAATCCCACAAGGCCAACCATATAGTTCAAATCCCAGACCCAGTGGCTTGAAAAACAGACAAGTACGTTCCTGCCTCAAATCCTGACAGGATGGAGAAATAGAGGAGAAAAACTGCGGCATTACCACATTCCATTGAGGGGGTGGTCCCTCTCTATCCCCCTCCCCTGATCTCTCTCATTCTCTGGTGAGCACATATACTCTCTACAATTAAAAACCAAAAATTAAGTTATTTAAAGAGGGACTGATTCTTAAACTAGCAACTTAGTTTTTTCCCTAAGAACTTAAGTCTGAGAAGTCGTAACATACTTACAAGAAACTTCCAACAGTGGCAGAAATGTCACTGTAGCGGTTATCTGTCTGATAACTGAACGGATTTCATCCTGGATAGCTTTCTGAGACTTTTCTCTGGGTGCACTGTAAAGAAGAACAAATCAATTAATTTTTAGTTTTTCACAAGTCATTTAAAACATATTGGTAAGATTATTTATCTGATTAAATGCTTCCAAAACCAGATAGTAATGCATTAAAAACGTCAAGCAAAGAGACAATATATCCTTAAGACCTATAACCTAGTAATCATAGAAAAAAAAAAAACTTCATTATTTCATCTATCTTCCAATCATCTATTCGGGCTGGTCTTAGTATCAGGTTATTTAGTTATCAGATGACTAGAAAATTAGTCAACTAGTGCAAATCGGAAAACCCTAGCATCTCCTCAGAAAATAAAGGCAGGCAAGTAGTATCTAAAGTATTTAATTAGTATGATCATTCTGGCATTTTTAGTAATGCCTAGAGGGCTAACTTCCTATTAACCTAAAATATTACTGTATATCAGATTATTTTTATAAGCTAAAAGTTTCCTAAAATAGACCAAAGGCTTCAGTAGAAAACTGCCTTTCATTATGAGAAATGGTTCTAAGTTTATAGAAAAGCATATCTAGGACAATGCTAACCATTCGTATATGATGGGGTTTCACATCTAGGGAATTTAGAAACTTCAGAGGCTTATGAATTGTCTTAGGAAGTTCACAGCTTCAAATGAATTACAAGAGAGCTGCATCTTAAGTAGGAGTTGAGAGAGAGTCTAGGATCATCCTTTAAAGTTAAAAGTATTTGTGAACAATTCAGTAAATGGCCCTTCTACTATACCATGTTCATAGTATTTTTTTTTTTTTTTGAGAGGTTTTTGCTATAGGGCTTTTATACCAGAAAGACAGAAAGTGAGAAATCGCCCCTCAGGGGGGTTGGCCACGTGGCAATCCCTTCTCCTCCGTTCTCGCGGGATCTTGGGCACGCATGCACACATGCCCAGCATGAATTTAAGCCACTGGGTCCAGGACTCAAACTGCGGTTGACTACATGGGAGTCCAGTGACGGCCATTACGCCAGCTGCTGGTCCCTCATGTTCACATTCTTATATACCACCACAAATATTAAGGTTTGAAATTCACAGATTTAGACTCAAGTCCATTATATTAAAAGAAATAAACTTAGAAATTATTTATTAGAAATAAACTATTCTTTATATGTAACTAGTTCAATATAATTAGAACTTATTTAGCTAAGAAAATGTTTTGAAAAAAATCAATGTGGAAATCATTCAATTCATACTTACCTGTCATCTTTTGCAGTCTTGTCACACTCAATATCAAACTGCCATCTCTCAAGAACCTCACCACTTTCAATGTTTGAGATGACTACCACCAGTTTCTGAACAGAGCACTTGTATAACCAATCTGCAAAACATAACAAAGCATGCTTTGGTCTACTGCGTTGTAAACCAGCTCCTCAGCAAATTCCTACCATTGATATTTTGGACTTGCTGCCACATACAAGAAAACTTGCCCCATCAAGAACCTAGCTCCTGTTTTCAAATACTCAGTACCTGTACCAGGTACAGTACTGGGTCTTGAGGATAGAATAGTGACATACAATAAATCCAATCCTACTCAAAAGCAAAAGCACAGAAGATGACATTAATCTGATCATCACATCAATAAATGTGATATTAGAATTGCAAAAGCTGCTATGAGGGATAAATATATGATGCAAAAACAGCATAAAACAGGAAAATCTGACTGATTGTAAAAGGTCAGGGAAGGCTTGACTTTAGCTTTTAGGATCATCAGCATTACATATGGAAAAGAAGAGAGAAGGTAAGAGGCCTAAAGTACTCGGAAGGGAAGAGCATGCTGGCTAGATGAGTCTGAAGGAAAGAGAAGCAGGTTAGATACAAGTCTGTGAGTCAAATCCATAAGGTCATAAAACTACATACACTTTAGAGATTACCTAAAGAGAAAAGAGCCTCAAAATGAGCCTTCAATTAATCTTGGAAATTGGGAGAGCATATTGAAGAGTCAGCAAAAGCAGGAAATAATTAGTAATATCCAGTAAATATTTTTGGCTTATGGGCCACCAAGATTTCAGCGGCATAGTCTTTTCTTAGACCCTTTAAAATGTGAAAACTTTCTTAGCTGTGGACAGTACAAAAACAGCCAGGCAGCCTTTGGATCTGCCAATTCCTAGTATATGTAAACAAATCTCTATGAGTTTAGCTCTGAAAAGGAAGTGGAGTGGTAATGTGAGGAAATTTAGGGTAGATGGTAATTTGTTCTTTTAGAACTGGAGAGATGAAACCAATGGTACTGATTTAAATCAAAACAGAGAAGCAGAATATATGAGACAAGAAATAGGATAAAGTCCCTAAATGATAGAGAATGAGATTCAAAACAGACTGGAAAATTAACAAATTAAGACACAGATCAATAATTGCCTCGAGTTCGAGGCAAATGATCTCAGTGCAGCCCTAGGAATGACTTCAGTCCTGACTTCCAATTCAGGATATAGCTCTGGGAGAGGTATATTGCTCCTAGTGTCTTTCCAGTTCAGACTTGAGGACAGAGGTCTATACCCACACCTCCAAAGAAGATGTCATCTTGCTATTCAGACAGCACTGACCTACTAGAGCAGATCTCAGCAAAGGACATTTTTGTCTCCCAGGGAACACCTGGCCATATAAAAAGACATTTTTGGTTGTCAGTGCTAAGGGGTGTGTTACTGGCATCTGGTAGGCAGAGGCTGAAGATGCTGCTTAACATTCTGCAACACACAGGAAAGTACCTCATGTCTAAGAATAATCAGGCCAAAATGTCAACAGTGCAGGAAGGTATTAACAGCTGGGTGTTCCCATAGAAAAAGCTTAATGAATCACAGGCAGGATTTTTTAAAAAAGACAAATGGAAATAGGTGAAAAATAAAATTCGATGGGGTGCTGTTACTTAATAGTATTCTTTCTCTCTTTTTAGTTCTCTGGTTGAACCAAATTTTACTCTCCTTGATCTTAACCAAATCTGGACATTAAGCTCAAAACAGTTATGAAACATTGATATATCATACAAAGAACATAAAATATGTATTTTTCTCAAACAGATAACAAATACCATCATAATCATGGAAAATTCTAATTTGTTCCATTTGGCCACATTAACTGCAAAGGACTTTTCTAATGAAGTTGAGAGAGAATGCTTTGTTAAAAGCCTATCAGATTCCTAACATCAAAATGCATAACTTGCTGAAAATGTAGCAGAAGAAAGGTAGGGTTTCTTTTAAATTGTATGTGATTTGCTTCCTCCCAGTTGAGAACTACCATATTTGAAATAGTAGGATATTTTACACTTCCATGCAGAGACGTAAAAAATGAGTATTTGAGATGCTAGCAAACGTGGTGGACTCTACGAGGTGTGCAAAACTCAAACTTTTCCAATGCTTAAATACCTTTTAGTTGTTCCACCACATTATTCAGGTATTTTATGAGGTCAGGATCAGTAGTTACAAGTAAGGTGAGGCCATACTTTTGCACTCGAGTGAAGGTTTCTGATGGATATATGCCACGCTGATACAAAATGCTGTTGATGCCAAAGGCTGAAAGCAAAAGAAACGTTGAAGAAAAGTCATCATTTTGTAACTCTGGAAAATGAAACGTATTTAGATGCAACTAGAGATTCATCAATGCTATAAAGCTGTAAACGCTGAAATGTATTTGTGTCGCACTGAAAGCAGAGTAGGTACGAAATGGCATTAAAAATCCTTAAAATCTTGCTTTTAAAATAAAAGACCTGCATTGATGTAGCAATGAAAGAGAAATATCAAGCTGCATTGTAATCCAAGCTAAATTCAGACAATGTGGGTACAGGATGTCAAAATAGGCTTTGTTTAACTGACTAACTGGTCCAATGCACCTGGCAAGCCACTCCCTCTCTGGTTCCTCCTTTTCTGCTCCCAAGTCCCGCTTGCTCTATCAGTCACAGATGGCCTGGTATAGACCAGCGTTTCCCAAGCTCGGGTGCATCACCCCCAGCTTCGGAATCACCAGGGGCGGGGGTGAGGCTAGGGTCTGGGTAAAAATACACAGTGGGCTCCACCCCAGTCACCCTAAGTCCTCTTACTTCTACAGGAGGCGGGGGCGGTGGTTGGGGGGACCGGGATATGCACCTAAACGCTCCCTAAGAGGCTACAGCACGAGGCCGGACTAGGCCTCTCCTCCGTGAGTCGGGAGGAGTCGTCTGCATCGCCTTTCCCCAGGGCCCTCCAGGGCAGCTGGAGGCTGGAGACCGCGAGGGCCTCCTCCGCCGTCTCGGAGGCTGCCCCGCCGGCCTACCGGGCAGCCAGGTCAGTCCTCCCCACCTCCCTGCCGCCCTCACGGCGAGGACTTACAGAAGAACTCGGCCACGATCTCGGCGCTTCCGCGCAGGGTAATGCCCTGCTCCCGGGAGAGCTGCAGCGCCATGGCCAGGCCCGCA